GTCAATAGTCTAGTAGCATTTTCCTTTCAGTACAATACCCACTTTCTCTAGAAGGCTATTCCTGGGAGCCAGATCGGCTAAAGACTGGGGAATGAAGTCAGGAGAGTAACTCTTCCCTTTAACTTTTCCCTTTTAATGTGCTAATAGTTGTGTCTAAAAAACATGATTTAAAAAAAGTTATGATTTCTTTATTATGTTACCTTTGAAAGCAAACCACATGAAATGCTACAAAACAAGCAAATGTCTTGAAATTGGTATATAAAACAAAGATTACTTCTAGTTTCAAACTCCCATTTATTAGTAGTGTTCCACTTAATCTTTTACAAAAAGGAAGACCAAAAAGAAGTTCAAATATAGGCTTAAACTATTCTTTATTTTTTCTTTTTTAAGTGCTTTTTAACTATACACCCACATCCCAATATCAAAGACGGTGCCTGACTCGTCTTGGTGGTCTACATTTCCAAGATAACATCTTGTATTTTGTTTCCACGGCTTCTGGTTATAGAAACCCCAGGCTCTTCTGTTAAGGAACTGGGGGCTGGCTGCTGCTGGCTCCCTCTTCCAATGGTCTCCGACAATCCTCTGGAGCATTTCTCCAGGCTGACTGTCTTTGTCCTCATTAAGAGCCACTGCTGCTCCAAGTTTGGACAGTTCTTTAGGCTTCCTTGATCCAGGTCTGACGGAGACAGCAGATGTCTTCTTCAGAACTGCCATGGCAAATACAAACTCGGAGATCTTGGTAGGATTTTCTGGAGATAGGCAGACTGCTCCTCGACCCCCACTGGAACTCCCCCTCCCTTGGCAAAAGAAATACTTTTCCATGGGTTTTCTCTTCTTCAGGTCCTCCAGCATTTCCAGTTTACTGAGGCTCCCAGGCTTCTCCTCTCCAGTTTTCCCAGCTGCCATTTCCCCATCACATCAAACTTCCCATTTTTCACTTTGGGTTCATTTTCATTTTTTTTTTTTTTAAATCTCTTGCCTCCTCTCCCACCCCCACCTCTCTCTATCTGTGGGACAGTGATGTTCTAGATGCTTGGAATGTGTCAATGAATAAAGAGAGAAAGGCTGCTCCCTCCACGGACTATAAATAGCAATCAAGCCCACAGGTGAGCCACTGCCCGCCCTGTGGGCGGGCAGTGTGTAGCAGTGTTTCAACACTAGCAATGGTAGACTGCTTTCCCAAGGTGATTTGAACAGTGACTGACTTGGCTTTCTAGAAAAACATTCTAGGCAAGAGGAGTGTCAGTTCAAAACGCTCCAGGCAAAATACTTCTGGAACTGGAAAGAACTTCTAGAACATATTTCACGGCCCATTTTACTCTTTGTAAAAGAGTTGTTTTCGTCAACAATGATAATTTGTAATGCAGTAAGTTACAGTCTCATTTACGAGACCTTGGCAGGTGGGCTAGAAAGGGCCTCTGAGAAATTGGAGCATGTACTTGAGAAGCACACACTTGAGAAAGTCCTTTATGGCTTTCATATAAAATTGGATAAGGCTAGTTACCTGGCACCCAGGCTTCTGATTCACAGGATGGCAGGGATTTCAAGGGAATTTTGGCAGGGAGGAAGTTACGGAGTCAGCTGGACAGGTCCATGCAGAGATTGGAGATGAACAAATGCAATCTTCCAACAACGGGCCCAGGGAATCCTTGGAATCCCCAGGAGGCCATTCCCCCAGAATCTGTATTCAGTGAGGGCTGAGTGGCCCCATGCCCCCTAAGGGTCCTTGGAAATAGCACCACTGAGAACTTCACAGTCACAGATTCAACCTGGCTCTCACCTTCCCCACCCCCTCCCCCCACCATGGCCTCAGTAGCAGGATAAACAGTCAGAAGGGGAGAACGGGAACAGTTTAGAACCAAACTCAAGCAGTTTCGTTCAAACTCATTACAAACCATTGGAAGTGTTATTCTGTGAAGAAATAAAGTTTGAAAGGCCCAGAAACCTTGGGTGTCCATGAAGCCACATTCACAGAGACCACCTAACAGATAGCACCCCTGTGCTGACTAAAACACCTTAACCCTGAAAGCCTTCCACAAAGGGGCCTGGATGGGCTTGGTATCGGCTGATGCCTCTGAGAAAGTCTCCCATCTATACAACATTGTTACAGGTGAATGTGTTTTCAAGTGAGAAACAAGACACATGGTAGCCTGAGATCAGATATATTAGATGAGAAATTAATTTATAGATAGGTTATAAAATTCCATTTTTAGATCATAAAAATTTGAATTAGAAATTCATTTTAGGCACATTAAGATGTGACTGTAGGAGACCAGACATCTCAAGGCACACCCACAGTATTTAGGCCACCACAAAGCATCGTTACAAATTAGGTTAGAAATGGGTAGGTGTTCCAGCAGCTCTCAATGCACCTGGATTGAGCGCTGGCATTGCCTCCCTCCTTCACTGTGAGCCACAGAAAGTGATTAGGAAAACACAAACTCAGCTGCCCCAGCAGCAGAATGGCTCATGCTGGGAGAGTCTTGGTGAAATAGCTTGCTTCCAAAAAGGGGATTCTGTGGACCCCAGGAAAGCCAGGTTTATGCTAATTGATGTTTAAATACAGTCAGAGGAGAAGACATTTTCTATTAAAAATAACCAATCGCATTTACTTCTGTTGGATTTGACTTTAAAATCATTGAGTTATTAGCATTCTAGAAGGATCTCCAAGTTGGCCTGGCTGGCTTCCCTGTTTTTGGTTGACTGTAAGATCTTTTCTGACTCCAGTTTTCAGCATCTGCTACAAATATACCAAGACTGACTCATTCTAAAAAAATATTTACTTCAGGGTTGGAGAGTTGGCTCAGCAGTTAAGAGCACTTGTTACTCTTGCAGAGGACAGTGGTGTGATTCCCAGCACCCACACCTTGGCTCACAACCAGCAACAACTCCAGTCTCAGGGGGTCCAAGGCCCTCTTTTGACCTTTGAGGGTACTGGTCATGAATGTGGCTATGCACACATATATGCAGGCAAAACACTCATACATCTATAATGATAAACACATCAACTAAAAAAAAATTGCTCTCAAAAATATTTTTAGCTCAAAAAAACAAAAAACAAAAAAAACTATACAGATCTCTCTCAAAGAACACTAGTAAACCCCTTACCAAATACAATCGAGAAAAGGTCGAAGGAATGGAGGGCACTCCTGATAGGTGAGGAAACTCTGGCCTCAGATTAAATTACACAGATGAAGTGGGTTGTAGCAGACAAGTCCCTGAGAGGACTAACTGCCTCCTAACTCCTTCGCGTTTATACAGAGCTGTGAAATCATAGAAGCCAGACTCATATCAAGGCATGCATACACTCTGGAGGCCTGTTAAAAGTATTTTAGATGATACTTAAAACCAAGTGGACGACAGAGAGATTTTAATGGTGCTGATAAAACTTCCTGAAATGGTTGGGCTGCTGTCTTCAGATCATTGCTTCCTGTGTCAGGGGCATCCTGAAGGCCAGCGCTTGGGTGGAGAGAGACAGCCGTGGCTTGGGAAGCGAGTCCCACTGCCTCTGACGGAGGAGCACCCTTGGTTTGGATGCCTCTGCTGCCAGGCTTTCGGGGCATAGATTTTAGTCACTCCACTAACAGCTAAGGAAATGCTTGCACGGGAGTAAAGAAAGAGACTATGTGGGGGGAAGAGGAGGATATTCTTCAGTTAGACAGGGCAATTTGAGCCAGAACATCACATACATAAAAGGATAAGAAATAGCTGTTAGTTGCATACTAAGTAAGATGCATGGAGGGGAAAGGATTATCTTATTTATGAAAGCTGAGTCCAGGAGATTCCTATCTTGCAAGGCTGTGTTACCTTCTGTGGTGAAAGGAGCATGACCTTTGGAGTCTGACAGACATGGGTTCAAGTCTCCAGCTCAGCTATTTACACATAGACAAACCCTGGAAAGTCAGCTAAGATTTCAGAGTCTTGGTCTCATTGGAGGTGGACTATGTAGATAATTAATTTAAAAAATAATTACAAAACACATTCCACAGTTTTCCCAGTTGGGAGAAATCTCCACACCCCCCCACCCCACCCCCACCCCTTCGTGTCCATTGCCTTTAGTTCACTTTTAAACCGCTCTCATTTTCTCTAATGTCTTTAAACTCTTTCACATTTAGCTATTGCTTTTAATAATGTTGTCAGGAATATTTCTAGCATTGCTTACTTTCATTTGCACAAGAACTGAAAGGTGTAAGAGTTTCTAGGAGGGGCTGGGGAGATGGTTCCCTTGGTAAAGCCATGAACATGGGGTCCTGAGTGTGGATCCCAGCATCTATGAGAAGTGCCAGGCATGGTTGCACACGCCTGTGATCCCAGTGCTGGGGGAGAAGAGAAAGCAAGGATGATCCCTGGAGTTCACTAGCTTTCTTATCTTGCTAGATTGGCAAGCTTCAGATTCAGTGGGAGACTGTCTCAAAAAAAAAAAAATACAGGGAATTTGGGCTTGAGAGATGGGTCAGTGGTTAAGAGCAGTGGCTGTTCTTCCAAAGGATCCAGGCTTGATTTCCAGCACCTATATGGCTGCTCACAAGTGTCTGTAATTCCAGTTCTAGGGGATCCAGTTCCCTCTTCTGGCCTCTGTGGGCACTGGGTATGCACATGGTCCACAGATATACAAGCAGAAAAAATACTGATACACATATCATAGTAAAAATTGAATAAAACCAAGTGGAAAGTGATAGAGAATAATACCTGGACTCTATATGCATCTGTACATACGGCATGTAAACACACACACACACACACACACACACACACACACACACACACACACACCACGGAGGAGCAGTACACACACAAAGACTTAACTGGCCAACTGGGTATATAATGGTTCAGAGTTTCTCAACAAAATCCAGTATTTGGGGAAATAGGCCAATCAGATAACTACTTTCATAAGAGACCCTGGAGAATAACGAAAGTCAGATTACCTAAAAAATAAGAATCAACTTAAAAGCCAAATGTCACCGTCAGGATGTGCTGCCCAGTGACGTCTCTGCACTTACTTGGCATTGGCGGTGCTGTTGGTGGTCAGGTTTGCCAGGGCCAGGGCGGCTGCCTCCCTCACCTCCTCGTTGTCACTTTTGAGCAACTGAACTATCTGTGGAATCCCTACGGAGAAGCGAGTGCAAACCCTGAGTTCAAACCCTCCCCCACAGCCCGGAGCGCAGAGACTTCAAAAATGGCAGTCTCCGGTTTACTCACCTTGGGTGTTGAAAAAATCTTTGCTGCTGGAGTTCTCGCTCATGGCTGAAATGGCTTGGGAAGCAGCAATCTTGGTTCCATCGCTGTCGGATCCCAGGAGGGTCACCAGGCATTTTTCAACCTCTTGTTCATGGAAAACTTTTCTGTTTTCAGCTTTCGTAAACCAAAAGGAAAAGCAAGTCAGAACTTTTCTGGTAAAAACTGTATTGCTATTTACCACTTGATAGAAAAATATAGGCCATTTGCGAACTTTAATGCTCGAGCCTGAACTAAACAGAATGTGGACCTAGTTAACCTTCAGAACACAGCCAGGACACAAAGGAAATGATGGGTGCCACATTCATTCCGTGTGCACCCCTCTGCTGTGTGTCAGTGCTGTGGCAGGGAGCACTGTGTGCCGTAAGATGTTCACATTCAGAAACCGTAAGCACTTAACACTCGTCACGAGCTGATTCAGCTTTCAGTGTTCACACAGGCTCCCTCCGCCGCGCATCCCCCCCCCCCCCCCCACACACACACTAATCACAGAAGCCCAAGTACCTGATACTATTTTAAATATACAATGCACTATTAAGACTGCCTACAGTGTACAGATCAGAGAACTGGATACTCAAGACTCCAAGAGAAGAGTAGAGGGGAGAAGGAAGGAGAAATGAGTAGTAATGTATGGTACTGCCTCTCTTCTCTGTCACGTATTCCCCCCCCCCCCCAAATAATTGTACATGCTCAAATAGCAAAGGCTACAGAAATCACATAGACATAATACAAAACAATGTCAGAATAATTTTGCTTTTGAAAACACTTATGATTCTATGTCCACATCATAACCACCCCCTTATAGAATATTAAATTTCAGCAGGGCGGCGGTGGTGCATACCTTTAATCCCAACACTCGTGAGGCAGAGCCAGGTGGATCTCTGTGAGTTCAAGGCCAGCCTAGTCTACACAGTGAGATCCAAGACAGGCACCAAAACTACACAGAGAAACCCTGTCTTGAAAAGGAAAAAAAATTCAAACCAATTGTGTGTGTGTGTGTGTGTGTGTGTGTGTGTGTGTGTGTGTGTGTGTGTGTGTGTGAGAGAGAGAGATATTGTGCACCTCAATAAACTTATCTGGGGGTCAGAGAACAGAACAGTCACTATATTAAACATAGGGTTAGGCAGTGGTAGCACACGCCTTTAATCCTAGCATTCTGTAGGCAGAGATCCATCCGGATCTCTGTGAGTTCAAGGCCACACTGAAACAGAGCCAGGTACGGTGACACACACCTTTAATCCCAGCACTTGAGATCTCATGACTTGCTTGGGAAAGACACATGCCTTTAATCCCAGCACTTGAGATCTCATGACTTGCTTGGGAAAGACACATGCCTTTAATCCCAGGAAATGATGGCATGAAGCAGAAAGGTACATAAGGTGTGAGGACCAGGAACTAGAGACTTTTAAACTTTCCAACAGTTCAGCTGAGATCCATTCAGATGAGGACTCAGAGGCTTCCAGTTTGAGGAAACAGGATCAGCTGAGAAGTTATCAAGGTGAGGTAGCTATGGCTTGTTCTGCTTCTCTGATCTTTCAGAATTTACCGCAAGATCTGCCTCCAGGTTTGTTTTTATTAATAAGACCTTTTAAGATTCATGTTACATTTGTGTGTGATACCAGGGGCAGAACCTTATGACCCTGGACCCACTAAGCAAGTGGTCTGCCATGGAGGCTTACCCAGCCTGAAATCCAAAGTGATTTTTGTTTGTCTCTGTCCTTTAAACATTTTTTTCTCTTGTCTTAGGTTTTTTTTTTAAATAAATGCCAATCTCATAGCATACTGAAGGAAGAATCTTGCCAATCTAAATTAGAACATCAAACCAGAAGATTAAATTTAGAATACTAAGGTTATTTCTGTGTTCTGCTCATTCTAAAATTTACAAAATTTCATGTTCTACTTCATTCTAAATTTTACTACCATTTAAGAGTCTGAAAAACATGTTAAAACCTGGGGTCAATGGCTCCAGAGACTGCCGAGGGAAGAAACAGCTGAGAAATAATTCCTTGCAAGGCTACATTTGGTTTCTTTAAGATACTTGGCTGTAGGTCTGATTCTCCATCATCGTTGTAAAGCCTGAGGAACGTACTCTTGACAAAGTCCGTTCTCATGGCCAGTAGACAAGACTGTAGGGCTCTGAGGTCTGAGTACCGGAAGGATCTGCTACCCCAGACACTGATAATACTTTAGATTACAATCTGCACGACATGGCAATAATTAATTACTTAGACGTGTTTTAATTTTTTTCCCCCAGAAATATTTTCAGAAACCAACACTAATGGGGTCTCCACTGGAAAGTTCAGATCGGCTTTCTCCTGATCTTTCTCATGATCTCCCATGCTCTCTCTCCATTGCAGCAGTATCCAGTCATGTCCGCAAAGACTTTCTGGCCTTGGCTCCGCCATCCCTAGGCGATCCCAAGCAGGGGGCCTTAGGCAGGTAACCAATCAGGAGCCGCATCCTGGGAGCCCATCAATCCTGACAGGCTTCAGGCTGGTATCTCATTAAAAAGCTTCAGTTAATAACATTGAAAGTATGTGGTTTCTATGATATTTTTAAATGCATGAAGTCATTATTAGTTTAAAAAAATACAGAAAATTTTTCCAGAGACTGACCACATTTAAAAAAAAATGGCTTAGTCGTATCATTAAGCTTTCCCTGATGGCTCTGAATCAAATCCTAAACAGAACACTCAGCATGGAGTCTATCAGGAAAATCTGACAAGATACAGTAGTAATTAATGTGAAAAGATCAACTTTTGAGCACATAATTGTTGCACTCATAAATTCAGTATATATGTAAAAACTGGAAAGATTAAAAAAATAATTTAAGTAAATACTTTGGGCAATTAGATTTTTACAAAATAATTTAAATAAACACTGTGGGCAATTAGTTTCTCAACCCTGCTGGGAATATTCTCAAAATCCAGCTGTGTTCACCAAACCTCAAAAGTGCTGACTGCAGTGTGGCTATAATAGATTTAAAAGATGAATTAACATATTAACCAAGTACTTTCACCGAATCTCTATGCCAAAAAGTATCTGTGCTTTAATTATGCAGATAATAAAGACTCTAGACAGTTACATTACTAATAGAGTAATACTCTTTGAAAATAACACTCAGTGTGCCGACATAAAGCAGGGTGAGGCGGGAGCCAAAACCAAACTCTCCTGTAATGCTTGTCCTTGCCCAGTCTCCGGAGTGGCCATTCCCTACCTTTGCTTGCTGCTGAGATATTAGCACCAGCCCATAAAACCATCGGAAATTAATACCTTCCCACCCTCCGACTGCAGCCAGGTCAAAGGCATGCTGACCCTGCTTCCCACAGTGGGAAACGCGAGCCAAACCTTTAAAAATGAGTGTCACTTGTTTACATGTCTCATCTGTTTTTGACAATGAAAACACACACACTTATCTAAAAAAAAAAATATTGTAATGAAAGAAGATAAAGTACAGTCACATTTTAAATTAATACTGATAGTAGCTTTGTTCTTACTAACAGAATAAGGACAAATATCTGTCTAAACTTACTAATGGCACTTTCTAGCTAGGGAAAAATGTAAACTTCTACCAAATTATTTACTTTCAACACAGAAATACTAGGAAATAACTTTGTTAATCTTTGTTATGTTTGAGGGTTCACCAGTGTAACCAAAATAATAATGCATGTCTAATGAATCTGACAGATGGAAGTCAGGACTATCCACAAATTAATATGAAGCACAGACAAGAAATATCGGTAGGGTGTGGAAGAAGAGTGGTCTATTGTTAGGCACACAGGGAGAGGTGACTTGGGCTTGTGGACAAGTAGACAGAATTAATACCCCAACAAGAAGTAAATAACCCAGCAAGAGAGGAAGGCACCACCCAGTCCTCCAGCAGAGGCCCAGGAAGGTTGACCCTGGCCCACCACTGCTTAGATTGAACAGTTCTGTAACAAATGTGGCTAAAGGGCCAAGTAACGGCCAGTGCTTTGCATCAGAAGTAGGTTCATGTTTGTGGATTTATTAAGACAGAAAGTGTGAATGTTTATAAAATCATCTCTTTCTCTAGGCTTTGAGAACCAAGAGTGAAGTTTTCAGGTCAGACATCTCCTAGTCTGAGAAAATCAAACCACCTAGGCGCCTACTAGATTTGAAGAACCACTTGAGAAAGATTTCTAGTGTCCCTATTGTCATTAAAGGCAGAGTTGACTCAGGGAGAACATGCCAGAAAGGACAAAGGAAAGTTACCAGCCAAATCAAGTAAGCAGAACTGTAAATATATAACTTTAGAGCTGGCATATAGCTCAGCTATAGAGCACTGGCCTAGCATGTTGAAGAGACTGGTTTGGTCCCCAGAACTGAGAGAGAGGGAGACAGAGACAGAGACAGAGAGAAAGAGAGAGAGAGAGAGCTCATTTTTTTTTCAAGACCAACAGTCTTAAGAGTTGTGACCGGAGCCGGGTGGTGGTGGCGCACGCCTTTAATCCCAGCACTCGGGAGGCAGAGCCAGGCGGATCTCTGTGAGTTTGAGGCCAGCCTGGTCTCCAAAGCGAGTTCCAGGAAAGGCGCAAAGCTACACAGAGAAACCCTGTCTGGAAAAACCAAAAAAAAAAAAAAAAAAAACCAAGAAAGAGTTGTGACCGGAAAGGCAGATGCTGACAGAGTTGTAATGTACAAGAGTACTCCACTGAGTGATGTTAGAGTAGATGGAAATCTTACCCATTCAGAAATAAACATTCTAGTGGGCAGTGGAGGTTGATTCTCATTCCAATGCTTGCCTAGTATCCCATTATAGCAAAATCAGATTATTTGAGTTTATGCATACGTTTTAAAATTTATCATAATAGAGATCTATAGAGGTCCTGTGCAGGAAACTGGAAATATGTTTAAAGCAGAATGGGCTTTACCCACTTAAATCACCCAAAAGCACATTTGTCAAAAGTCTCAGAGTTAGGATGATGGTTTGTAGGATAAAGTGGTTGCCACACAAATCTAAGGACCCAAGTTCAGATCCCCAGAGCACACAGAAAGTCTGGATGCAGTAACACAGGTCTCTGTAGTCCCAGCACGCCCCCCCCCCCCCCCTTGAGGAGATGGGAAGAGAAGACAGGAGAATCTTTAGACGCTCTCAGG